CAGCAATAGACAACGGATATCAGATGATGCTCGTGATACCGTGCGTACCGCTAATATGTCATGTCTTTATATCCTGTAATTTCTCTTTTACAAAGCAAGATCGGCGGCTGAAATAAGTGAGGCAGGGTACCACGCGTGATATCTGTCGAAACTCGGAATTGAAATTAATATTGCAGTCTCCTATGATGGAACCTTCGTTTTCTATCTATCTATATCTAATATTTGCGTAGGGATTTACGGGGTGCTGCATGACATGTGTTTTTGTTACATAGTAAGATCCAAAACTGTAGCATAGATGCTACAGTTTCGGAGATCGTAATAATTTATTTATTTGCTCACTACAGCGAGCAAATAAATAAATTATTACTATCTACTATATACTCATTTTATGTTCTCGAAATGATTCGGTATTTTAATGTTGAGTTACGAGTCACACTGACCAAGTCTTTTTATTGCATTTATTATTAAAATAAACATATATAATAAACTAAATTTATCAGAGAAATGACTGTAGGCTCGCAAGCTGTCACAATGGAGTTAAATCTATCTAGAGAAATAGAGACATTCTGTCATTACCTGATAACCCGATCTATAACACAACTACACTGTGGAATAACCTTCCAGCATTTTTTCCAGGTATTTCCGAACCGATATTTAAACCCTCAAGAAAAGTGCTTATTCCTTTTTAAAAGGCCGGCAATGCACTTCCAATTTGCCTGGTGCTGCGTGTGCTCATCTGCCGCGCTAATTGCTTGCCGTCAGGTGAGCCCCAAGCTAGTCTGTAACGCCCCTATGCAATAAACAGCATGTATATGCAATAACAGTAGTAAAAGTATATTTTAATATTACAATAATTATCTAATTACCTCTTGTTGGTAAATAACAACACCGATAAAAATGTGTAATCCGGTGTCATATTTACGGCCATTTGCCGATAAAATATTAAATGCATGATAATGAATGTTTATAAACAAATCTAGCGATAAAAGCTATGAATACATTTTTGGTACTCATTAGTCAGTACTTATTTTTTTATTGATGATTTCATTTTATATATAAACATGTTTTTTTCGTCTAATTAGTTATAAAGTGTAAAATATAACTATGAAATCATTGACTGACTATTAAGTTACAGAATGGGTACAGTAGGTACTTAAAAATAATAATATTATCTTCGGACAATTCACACAGCGCCATCTAGTCCCAAGCTAAGCAGAACATGTGTTATGGATACTGGAGAACATACATAATATACATAGAAAACACTCAGACCGATTTAAATAATCATACTCTTGACTACAAATGTTTACCGTGCGAGGAATCAAACCCGCGACCATCGGAAGAAAGGCGGTGTATTAAATCGCTAGACCACCGAGGCCGTCAAAGTTATTAATAGTATGAGGAGGAATGTATTAATAACGTTTGTATGTTCATTGAAGGTCAACAATATAAGGAAGTAGCAATACAATACGAAAAGCACTTTCACTATTTCCCTGTTATTATGTACTTAATACTAGTATTTACACGCAGCTCCTACCGCATAACCCGGATACATATCCTATAATCCGGAACTATATCCTATATCTCCATCCTCAATACTATATGTCTTCTGTGTATCTCAAATGTTATATCTAGTGAATGAGACGTTAAGGTGCTAAAAGGAAACAGATAAATTCTTATATTATGTTAGGTAACAGTTTTTTTTAGTATATGAGTACATTTAACACATCTTGTAGTATAATATTTAAAATAAACTTTAATATACCCCTAAAATAAACTTTTGGGTTATATTATTAAATATGAACATCAAAATCTTACTTGTATTATAAACGCGAAAATTTGTGAGTAGGTATGGATGGATGGATGTTACTCTTTCACCCAAAAACTACTGGACGGATTTTGATAGCTTATTAATCAGAATAATACATAGGCCGTAATTATGTAAATAAAGATATTATGTAAATTGGGCGAAACATAATGAAAAATTTTAAGTAAGTGTGAATAAATGAAAATATATAAATAAAATTTAATATTTATAACATGCACCACATCGTTTCATATCCACGTAGACAACTTTGTCCAAAGGGTACATCTTTCTCATTACTTAGTAAGTAATGAGAAAGATGTTTTCTATGAATAGTGGTACGAAGTAAGATAAGGCAGTTAAATTACAGGGTATTGAAGCATGATACCGTTCTCATGCATTGTAGAAATAATAAATTTGAAACCATTTTTCGAAGTATTCTAATACTGTTGGCCGCAGCAGACCTTCACCGAATGAAAGGCGACTGCAGATGGCACTCCAACATCGCGGAGGGTCATATGGAGCGGCTGAAGACCAACTCTGCCTGACGGATACTACGTATATATATGATGTAGATACTGTTCATGTATATATACAATGAATAGGCTCATCAACTCGTTTACCATTCCAGTTATATAATAAAAAACCTAAACTTACGTAACAGAACGCTGCCTAGAAATAATTCGTATCAAGCAACCAGTTGTAAATACAATACTTTCATTTTTAACTCATTAAAACACTCGCCGCGACTACAGCGGGCATGTGTTATACTCATTAATTATAATTTAGTGTTAATTATGTGATGCGAATTATATACTTACTGCATGTGCAATTTATAATTAACTCTAAATATTATACATTTTATTGCGAACTTTCTAGTTACGCGGCAAAAGTGTTAAAATGGCGGCCAAGTGCTCAGCTTGTTAATATTTTTAATCGACTACAAAAGACAATATATCCATTACTAGCTGTGCCCGCGGTTTCTATTGCGTGAAATTTATAGCCTACTAGCTTTTGCCCGCGGCTTCGCTCGCGTTAATTTATACCCTTAGGGGTGGAATTTATCAAAATCCTGTCTTAGGGGATGCCTACGTCATAGTAGTTTCATACATTCAAAGTGTCAGCCCGATCGGTTTAAAATTGACAAATTTTCATCCCCTATTTTATCCACTTGGGGGTAGAATTTATCAAAATCCTTTCTTAGCAGATGATGTAGTCATAACATCTGCCTGGATGCCAAATTTTATCCCGATCCGTCCAATGGTTTGGGCTGTGCGTTGATAGATCACTATGTCAGTCACCTTTGAGTTATATATTATATTTAGATGTGTTATTCTTATGTATAAGCTATATTACTGTAAAATTACATTAAAATACATTCAGTAGTTTTTGCGTGAAATAATAACAAACACCCAACCATCCATCGATCCACACTCACAAACTTCCACGTTTATAATATCAGTAAGATTCATTGCGATTTTGTTAACTAGTATTATTAAAAGAGAATTGATGTTTTTTTTTGTAATAATAGATGTACTCAATAAAATATTAACAAATTTTAAATATTAGTTCAAATGATGATAATTTCTTAAATACTAATTAGCCTAATAAATCTGTATCGTTCTCGTGTTATCAATACTTTTGGGCTCGACGCAATAAATTATCATATTTTGTTTTATTGCGTTGTGCAATTCAATTAAGCTTCTAGTGTACGACGTTATTGATGAGCGATTAAGGACATTGTTTTACTTTCTTAATTGTATCCGTGTATTCCTTTATCAAGTAATAGTCCTTATGAGGTATTCAATTTTCTTTTATATACTTGTAATGGCAATCAAACAGACGCCGCATTGGTGATATACACATGAGCAGCACTACAGACATCACATTTTCATGTTATACCACTCACACGTAGCTATTCCAGAGGAATGACGTCATAGCTCTAACCCTGTAATTTCTCTCTCAAATAGCAGGTAATACCCATAAAGCCCATCTGTTGGTATACAGATGAACAGCACTATGGACATCACATTATCATATGAGACCCGTGATAACACTAATGCGTTGTCATTCATCCAGCACTAAGATATCAGACCTCTCATGTTGGAACTGTTTATACTCACAAAGAAAGTTGATTGGCAGTTGAAATATAAGATCGAGGTGTACATGGAGACGACTTTTCACAGTCTTTTCTCTGGTAAAGTAGTTTGTAGTCCAGTTGTTTATATAGTTTCTAATTGTACTAAGTTTATAGATAAATATCAATGAACATAAAACCCGTCAAGTGTACTATAACAGGATTATACTCTAGGTCGTCTATCGACATTTTAAATACCGTCTTTATTATAGTAGACTGATACCCGTTTTTACTAACCAAGTCCAAACGTATCCTTAAATTAGTATCCCTTAGTTTAGAGAATACCAAAATCGGATACTTAAGTTCGTTTTCACCACCTTAAGTTTTTAGCACCTAGGAGTTCCTTAAGTAAGTGATGGGTTGTTTTTATTAATAACTCATAAAATCGATTGTTTACTTTTGTTGCGATTATATTACAATTATCCTAAAATGTATGTATGAAGGCCGAAATAGGTATGGACTGGGTGAATGCGAACAGGGATGAATGGAAGAGAAAAACATATTACGTCGACCCCAAATAAATGGGATAAGGAAGAAGCAGATGATGAATATAATTCAAAAGTTCGTCGTGTCAAGTGGCAACATATTTTCCCACCTATTCTATAAGACAGATTATACATAATTTTTATAATCTGTCCTTCTTTAACCCTTTGCAGTACTTCTTCATTTAGCTAATAATATTTCTAATATATATACCATTTGAACGTCATAGAACAATATTTTTTGTTATAATCTATGCAAGCGCAGACGACGCGATAATACGTGCCATTGTGTTCAACAAGTAGAGCGGAAATGAAATAATATACGTATATTTTAATTCCGCCAACATTGCGAGCATAATGGAACAGGCCAATAGGTTATCAGAAAAAGAATTACGATGTTTCAGGCCTTTTTTAATGTGAATGATTTGAAAAACTGAGTGGCGGACCACAGATTCAAAACAGTAACCATAGATATTACAATATATTTTTCGACATCTTTGCTAAAACTAATACATCACCATTTCTGTGGACTAAGATAACATGTAAAGCCAAATATGTATAAATAATCATTACAAACCTTTTTTAAGAACAGGGCTAGCTGAAAACGTGGCAAGTCATCAACACCTGAAACAAGACAAACACTTTTAGAATTGTACACATATATACATATATGTTTATAATCTTCATTGTACCAGATAATAAAAAACTACTTGGCTAGGTCACAGCTTGGTGAAAAAATTACGCCACACAATTAAGAACAAATTCTGTGAAAACTGCGTCCAAGTGCCTCCAGCCATTTTTGTTCAAAAGCTTAATATTCGATGAGACAAACACAAAATATATAGTTTTCGGCTCAACATGATTTTACAAGCTACCCGCCCCGGCTACGCACGAGTGTACATGTATTATACATATAAATCGTCCTCTTGAATCGCTGTATCTATTGGTACAATTGCAAATCCGTTGCGTAGTTTAAAAGATCTAAGCGAACAGCGGAAGCTGACTGATGACTTAATTTTATATTATGTAAACATTTTTCATAACATAACATTGGTCATAAGATTAGTGGAAAATGAGTCTGTTTTCCAACATATTGTGAATACGAAAATTTTCTTACTTTTATATATGTATATATTTAGGCATTACATTCTTGTTTAAATAAGGTAATACATTGGAACACCTGTTTCTTTTTAATTTTCGCTTCAATGAAAGGAAATTGCCCAATAAAGTAATGTACACGACAAATAATGTGTAACGTTTTTACACATGTTTTAATTAACGGCACAGATACCCAGTTTCATATTCTGTGACATAATTAAATTATGGCCGCCACGTGTAGAATAAAATTACTATTATGCCATTCAGTTTCCTGTTTAGTTATGTACATGGGAACATAGAATTTACGCCTCCGATCGATCCCCCGTCCAATTCAAACGGGGACCGATGTTACGACGGCCTGAGCCGAGGTTCGAACCCCTAGCAGTGCCCTCAGACTAAAGTCGTATCCGTCAGGCGGGAGTTACCTTCAGCCGCTCCATAAGTCCTTCCGCGGGTTTGGGGTGCCATCTGCACTCGCCCCCTATCGTCCGGTGAAGCTGTAAAGGCCAGCTGCGGCCAACAGCATTAGACAAGTCCGAAAAAAAGAAAAAGCTAACATGGAAGTTGGAATTTTGTTTTGTCTTCAAATAGCGACCCGTCAGGGCTTCGCATGGATGTATTTAAAATCTGCGAATTTCTCGGATTGTTCTATATTCCTACCATACATATATTATACATATAAACATTCCTTATGAATCACTCTAGTAGCGTAGTTTTAAAAATATAAGCGAACAGTGACTTGAGGCACATTCTATTCTGTACATAAATGTATTGTTTCTTCTTTAATATTTGTTTATTGTATTTAATGTGAAATGTATTAAAGTAGAAGTTTATCTAACCAATTCATTAAAGTCGGAATATTTGTGTATATAAACCATAACATCGAGTAAAATATAAGATAAAATATAATAGGAACATGTTCAAGTTTATATAGAAACTCTATAAAGTTGGTAGAGCCCTCAACTATCTCAACCCTGTACATGATAATTTATTTATTTATTTTAAATCAGGTAACGTAATATTGTTTATATTGGCTCATATTATATATACCTTGAGAACTCACATCTATATAAAATAATAATATTGTCCTTGTTATCACCACATTCACTATAGCAATCTGCCACAGTAGCGTTGGTACACCACCCCCTTCGGCCAGTAGTCTTCCTTCATGAAGATGAGTACCATTTGCATTCAGCCTTTTTTTATAAAGGTAATTTCTCTTTTGTCTGTGGTCAATCCTTTTTGGACTCGGGGTCACTAACCGTTAATAACGTTCTAATCATTGGTTAAAATTATTAATAACCGGTTTCGCATGTATACCCAGGCTACTGACGCTTTACCCATAATAAGTGACTTAATCTTACAATCATCGTTACATCCATCACTTCTGCCCCATCAGCGTATACCATCAATACCAACATCCATTAAATAGTAACCCATATCCGGTTCTGAATAAGGTTTAGTATTGTTATAACAAGGAAACTATTTGTATGCATCTGTACACAACTGACTATTAACGAGTTGCGTAGTCGAGTAACATGTGACTATCAATGGCTTATTGAGTATTCTCAAAGTACTGCAAGTGTTGTAATATAAAACACATATTATTACGCTGTTACGATACTTCGTTTTGTTAAACTGAAACGTATAATATAACTAGCAATTATCAACGACTTTGTCTGCGTGGAATGCCACATATCGTCCAGAATATTTATATATTTTTATTAAAATAAATAAAATTTGTAAAATAAATATAGTTTACCTAATATACTCTTTTGAATATTAGCTATCTGCGAGTGAAAGTCCCGTTTCTACCGTTTCATAGATTAACAAGAACAAACATACAGACAATATTTTTTTTAATTAATTCTCAGGTTGTAAGTTCCATATATATTTCCATAGGCATTTAATGAAAAGCTGTTAATAAAAAATAATTATTTTAAATATTGTCTCTTCTTGCTAAAAACAGATATTTCAAGTTATAAGATTGAGATTTTGTTTATTATATTATGCTGCTTAAAATCGTTACAGAACTCATATAACTCATTAACGAACATTTTTAAGTCAATGGGTCTTTTATGGGAATGGGTACAAAATTTTACTGTAAGTTACTAAAGCATGTACTGGAATTTCATATATTCATTTATATATATTTCAATTTAAATCATATTTATTAAGCCAATGCATATTACACCGAAACAATTACTTAAATGACAAACGTGCATGGCAATAGTTGTTTATTGTTGGGATTGTCATTAAATTATAATCATAACATGTAAACAAACTGGCTTTTAAAAAAACAAATTCAGTTGAGCTTCTTGGCACTTTTCTCAACTGAATGTATAAATTGAACTTGACTATAGGGAACAAATATTAATTATAAATAATAAACATTAATAACAAACACCTTAACGTTCAAATGAAAATTAAGTGAGCGGCTAAAGTGTCCTACATGAATAAATAGTTTTTGAAAAAAATATAATATATTTCTGAAAAAAAAAAAAAATATTATAAATTATAAAAAATATTTGTATTTTGTAAGAAACAAGACGTAAAGACATCTACGAGTAGTTGCTAATATATCTGAGTTATTTGCAATTATTATTTACAACGGTGACTTTGCGCGGGCGTTGTTATGTAAATCGAACTTTGAGAAAGCGTAGCAAGTTTGTTGCTCGTTAGTTGTAACGTACAAGTAAGTTACAACTGTCAGTCGAGTGCGCTAAGTTATGTAACACTTACACATATAGTGTGCCTGGAATTCATATACATAGTAATAATACCGTACTTATTTACAAAGGTACGGCCTTATTACGCGGTTACCGCTTGCCAACAACTGGGCCGTCAGTCGCCATTCCGTATTCAAAAACAAAAAAACACATTTATAGGAAGATCCATAAATCTTTATAGTTCTCTTGGAAGAATTAATGATCTTCCAATGAAAAATAAAAAAAAATATTTTCTTGTTTTTGAAATTGGAATGTCTAAATTGTACGCATTTGTTATATATATATAGCACTACGACATCACGTTATTACTAATGAGTGGCCATTCCGGAGAACTAAGATGTCATACCTCTTATCTTTTAGTTTTACTTTATTTTTTAAAAACTGAAATAATACCGTATGTAATACTACCCTTATACGAGTATACATATAAGCAAGAATAAAATATATAATGAAGAATAATATAAGTAGAATATATTATAAATAATATGCAGTCACGAGTGGGCAACGCAAAACTTAACATCGCTGGATTATCTGAATACAACTTGGCGTCTCTCTGTTTAATATGGTTTGTTAACAGTGTTTCCATCACCAGAGAATGTCAGAAATTTATCGCAGAGACGTTTATAACCTTTTTTGAACACACGAGTTTACGGTATAACAGCAAAACGCCCATTAGAAAAAGAAATGATTGTAGACAGAATCAGGTGAGAAAGAGGTAAGCACGCAGATAACTTTTTGCAAAGTACCTCTGCCAAATTAGCACCGAATGACCTTGAACCTATGAACAATGGAATGTTTTGTGTACAAAACGGAAAGTTCAACAGACAACAAATGAACCGACAATTATTAAGGTCACATCCTTGTTAGCACTGGAATGTTAACTTATTTGCACCAAAACCAGTGACCTTGGTCAGCGGATTTATCACGCGGAATCGATTTCATAGAAGTTGACCTGGATTGTAAAGATTCTCGTGTGGTGACCTCGTACTAACAGATAGAGTGTAATTCAATCCTTCCCCTATAATATAAACTAGCAACTTAAACATGAATTTTCACGGCCTTTTCCGCATGGTACTGTTAGTATATATAAGAAAAAGATCTTTTTAAATTATGTTTTAAGTTTATATAACACAAACAAACATTTTGTTTGTGTAACTGGGATGGGATATAAGCTGACGGCCCACCTGATAGTGGCAACCGTCGCTTATGTACATGAACAGTGCTTATGCATTGTAACTTTAAAGTTATAGGGCATAAGGTCCATTATTTTCAACAACGAAATTGAAAAGCTTCTGAGATTCCTGTGTGCCTCAACCAACAATTATACAAGTTTCAACCGGCAGGAGATTAGTCGCATTAAAGTGATTGTTGATAACTTACAGTGCAAAATTACAAGGAAAGATAATGTGATTTGGCTTTGTACAGAAGTCTCTCGCGAAAATTTCGCTAGGTTTTTCTTTCGCGATGATAATGTAATACTGCATCTGCCTGCGCTAACGGTCTACGCTGGCGGGCACCAGTGAAGGATGATAGGATGATCATGACGTCAGGTCAGATTGCCCAAGGTAGCGAATTTCCAGAAATTGACTAGAAGGAAGTCGACATGGTACATTGCTAGCAATGGTGCTATTAGTCCACATTACTGACAATCCCCTTCCTCTCGCGCTGTAATATTAGTTTATCCATAACGTAGTGAGATAATGTTTTATTTCCAATTTGATAAAGCTAAGATCTATACAATGTGATGCTTTGTCTCATAATGTTATGATGCAGACTAAATAGATGAGTACCTAATAT